TATAATTGATATTGTGTAATAGGAAGAAAAGTTCTAAAGGAGCAGGGGAAGTGGGAATATTAGGGGAAAGGAAAAAAGGGAAAAGAAAAAATATGAGAAAAGGAAAAAAATGGAATCAAAGTGTTTGCAAATAGGGAAGGGTGGAAGGGGTGAATTGAGGGCAAGGGAAGGGGAAAAAACATAAGAACCAAGATACTCATGTAAAGGTACAAGATCCCAATGATGATGTAACTGTATTTTATACCGAAAATGTACCAATAAACTTAATGGGAAAAAAATAAATAAAAAAATACTCATCATGGCTGAACTGTACTTAGGAGATTGGGTCTACTCAGACGAGGAGTCACTGTGGGCATCAACAGAAAGGTTATAAGTCCCTTCCTGGCTCTTTAACTCTTTTTTGTGGATACCATGCTATGAGCGGGTTTCCTCTACCATGCCATACCCTATGCCATGCCATCCTGTCTTGGAGCCAGCTGATATCAATAAAAACATGGGCCAAAACAAACCTCTCCTCCTTTAAGCTGTAGTTGTCAGGTACTGTGTCCCAGGAATGAGAAAGTGACTAAAACAGATTTTGGTACCAGAGAAGTGGGGTCATTGCCAGGACTACATCTGCCCATATGGTTTAGAAACCTTTGGAACTAGTTTGTCAGAGGAGTTTGAATAATTTTGTAAATGCTGCCTGGAGAAGAATTCCTAAAAATTGTGTAAGACAAGCTTGATGGGAGATTCCGGTTGGAGCTCAGAAGACCAGAATACTGACAGAAATGTAGTCAGTTAATGCCAGGCTTGTGAGGTTTCTGTTGGGAACAAATAATCCAGTGATAATTGGACTTGAGGCCATATATGTTATGCTCTGGCAGAAAATTTGTCCACATGTTACTCATGTCCTGAGACTTTGCAGGAGACTGAGATTATGGTTGGTGGACTAATTAATCTAGAAGAGGAAATTTCAAGGCAACCCAGCATTCCTACTGGGCTATGGAATGGGTACTGTTGGGTGCATTTAGTCAGTGTTATATTGAGAACAAAGAGCACACAGCACAGCTGAGTGATTTTAAGTTTTGAGTTTCACCAGAAATTAAGGTCATGTAAAGTTAGAACAGAAGAGAACATAGTTACTGAAAAGATTAGGACAATAGGAAAAACGGCTCGAGGACATGTCAGGAAAGAGCAAGACCTTGCCCTTTGGCCTTCAAAAGTGAAAGACTTTGCTTAGAGAAGAGAGCCCCAGAGCACTCTATTGGAGAACCAGTGCCCTCTATTGGAGAACCAGTGCCCAGAGACTTGATTCCCCAGGATTCAATTTACTATGCTCAGCCTCACTCAGAGACCTCTGCAAACATCAGCAAGATGTAAAGGAGCCTTGTCACTACTCCAGCTAGCAGCAGATCTTGGCATGTAACACTAGATTTATATACATAAAGAATGCAAGAGTTATGGGGTCATGGAGACTTCCACCTAGATTTCAGAGGGAGGCCTGAGGGACCAGGCAGTGTCTTCCTGAGAGGATACTGAGTAAAGCTATGAAAGTGAAGCAGAAATTACAATGGAGACCCCAAGAAGTTGAAGAAGCCAGAAATGTGGAATGTCTGTGGAAAGCCACAAGGAGTGAGCAAACCCAGCCCAAGGGAGAAGCTATGAAGGATACAATCACTGGATATGCCTTCTGGGTGGGGCTATCCAAGCCCTTTGGAGTTCATATCTCACTACAGCTTGCCCTGAATACTGTATATGAAACTATGAAATTTAATATTAGCCATGCTGGTTTTTGGTCTTACTTTGGTGTGATTTCTTCCTATCTTACTATTTCTCCCTTTTGAAATGGGAATGTTTACCTTGTGCAATTGTATGTGGCAGTGTTTAACTTTATTTTTACAGAGGCTCACAGCTAAGTGTTTTCTTTAGCCTCAGAGGAGATTTTGGGCTTGGACTTTTCAGCAATGCTGGAACTGCTGAAAATTTGGCAACTCTTAGAGATGGACTAAATGCATTTTACCTAAGGATATGCACATGAGTCTTTTTGGGGCCAGGGGCAGAATGATACGGTTTAGATCTAGATGTCTCCCTAAAGCCTCATGCAATAATAGGCAGCATTGGAAGGTGATTGGCTTATGGGGACTTTATAATAACCTGAATTGCTGTTAGAAGATGGAGGCCTGGTTGGAAGAGGAGCATCACTGTAGGCATGATCCAGAAGGCTATATCTCCCTTCCTGGCTCTTCCCTTGACTCTCTGGTTTTTGAAGCCAATGATATGAGTAGCTATTCCTCTGTTAAGGTCCTATGCCATGCTGTCCTTCCTTGCAAAACCACCTAACTATGGACTGAAACTTCTCCTCCTTTAACTTGTCCAGTATTGGGTCGCAATGACAAAGAAAGTGACTATGACAAAGGTCATAGCTCTACTCCTTCTGGAAAGATGGATATTTCCACTATGGTGTCCCTGTAGGAAGAAACCAAAATGTTTGGCTGTTGGGAACAGATGACCTTCTAAGAGGACTAAAGGACTCCCACTGGGCCAGTACCTGGGAACTGTAGGAAAATAATTTTGCTTCCTAGAAAATACAAATAACAATGACAACTGTTGCCTTCACTGAAGAGCAAATGGCATATAGTATGCATGTACTTTGTCCATCAAAGTGGTACACACATGAAATAAATTATATTTAATTCTGATATTAAGCAATACTTAGCATCTACTATGTGTCAGATACTGTGCTAGGGGTGATACATCAGTAAATCTAAAGATGAACAAACTCATGCTCCTCATTGAACTTATGTTCTAGTAGGGGTGATAGGCAACCAACAAAATATATATGAAAGTAAAATATATGTCAGATAGCCATAAGTGTAATTACACTGCCTTAACTGTGAAGGAGGAAAGGAAGAGAGGCAATGCAAGATTACAATTTGAAATGGAATGGTTAAGAAAGACTCAAGGAGCAGGTAATATTTGAGTGCCAGACTTGAAAGATATGAGGAATTCAGCTATGTAGATATCAGGAGGAGTGCTCTAGGTAGAAAAAAAATTGTTTCAAAATATCTCAAGGATAAGCATGTCAGGCATGTTGAAGAAAGACCAAGGAGGTTGGTATATTGGGACAGTTAACATGGGGAAAAGAGGGCTGGGGATTTAGCTCAGTGGTTCTGACGCCTGCCTCGCAAGCGCAAGGACCTGAGTTTGATCCCCAGTACCAAAAAAAAAAAAAGAAACAAGGAGAAGGAGATTAAGTCAAAGAGGTAAGAAGGGATTCACTACACAGCATTTTGTAAGTAATGAGAATTTTTTAGCTTTTACTTGGAAGAGAAATGGTGAACTATTGGAAGGTTTTGCACAAAGAAGTAAAATGATCTGATTTAGGTAGGGGAGAAGAAAATCAGAGCACTTTCATCACTGCACAAAGTTTTAATGAGCAGCACCACTCTGGAGAAATAAGAATTTTGAAAAATGTTAAAGCTTCCTCCTGATATCAAAGTGGGCCCTGGGCTAGGGGACAGACATATGACATGACCTATTCTTTGAAAGGAAGGAGATGAAAGGATCCAAAGAAGAGTTTTCTGTGGGTGGAGTGGAAGGCTATCATTGTGTATGGATGTATTTGTGCCTGTCTGTGTCTAATCCTTTTCTCCATTTTCCATTGTTGATCTGTTTAGTAAAATGTCATTTTTAAAATGCCAATTTAAGTCCACTCTGCTCAAGAGAATGTGAGGGTAAAGGCTCTCCTCTTCTCTAAATGGGGTTATGAAATGTAGAAAAACAGTTCCTGGGAAGCAAAGTGACATATTGAAAGGCCTGAGGGTCGTTCATCTAGCCTTAATCTGTAAATTCCTTCCCATAAGCATTTCCTTGCTCAAACCAACAAGTATTTTCCAAGTGAGGGAAAAAGGACCAGAAGCATCAACATCACCAAGGATGTTCTTTAAATTCATAGATGCTTATAACCTACTCCAAACCTGATAATTTATAACTTGTGTGGCAATGGTGAGGATTCCGGGATCTATATGCTTAACAAGCTCCCCAAGGGACTCTGATCCACATTCAAGTCTGTGAATTACTGGCTTGGAGGAAGCTGTGCTTTGTTTTAATGAATGAAGTTAGGCCCTGACGTGAGCAACTAGATCAGAAACCAGAAGCCTTCAGTCAGAAGCCCTTGCAAACAGAATGCCAGATCTTGCTTTAAGGTAGCTTCCTGGCTATGTGCATAGGTCTAATTCACCCTAGATCCCTGGTGACCTATCTGTGAAATGGAAGATGTAAGGTGTGACTAATTCATTTCTAAGAGGCTTCTTGGCTAAGAGGAAAAGGGTAGAGATTTAAAGGAGAGAAAGATTCAGGGAGAGAGAGAGTGGGGACAAGAAAAGAGAGAAGAAAAGAGAGGGTGAGGGAAAGAGGGGGAAGGAGAGAAAGAGGGATAGAAGGTGAATAATAATGAATAAGGTTACAGAAAAGGAGAGAAATGGAGAAATTAAGAGTCTCAAGGGAATAGTTTCACTCCACTGAATAGAATCTAGGAAGTAGTCCAGCTGCCATTTTCAACATCTTGGGACTCTCAAAGCCAGGCCGATTAGAGCTGGTGATTTTTCATAGAAGCGTCCTCTATCCCACCCTGTGTGCAACCACATGCACCATGATGTCTACCTCACAAATGTCCTTGAGGTGCTTGATATAGTGACGCTCAGTGCTCATAATCTCATTGATGACATTGGCCCGCATCTGGTCCCGGTTCTGGAGTGGTCGGCCCAGGCACAGGCAGTCTGAGTTGGGGTCCAGGTGCCCATTCTGCACGTCACTGGGCCCTTCCTCTACCCCATCCTCCTGGTTCACCCAGAGCTGTGGAAATAGGCAGAAAAAAATTAATGTGTTAATCTTCTGTGAGGAGTTTCCAGTAAAATAGTAAAAGGGTAAATTAAAACATTTGGGTACCCAAAGAGCCTTCACTCAGAAGCCCTTGCAAACAGAATACCAGCCCTTGCTCTGCTGTGGCTTGCTGGCCCTGAGCAAGTGTCTAATCCTCTCTAGGTCCCTGGTGACCTCTCTGTGAAATGGAAGATGTGAGGTGTGACTAATTCATTTCTGAGAGGCTTCTTGGCTAAGAATATCTCCAAAGATAGAAAAGTGATTGCAAGCAAAACTTGTTCATAGTGATGCATATCTAGGAAGCACAGCAGGATCAAGAAAAGAAAAATTTAAACTAGATATCTAAGTATGATAGCTACATTACTGTCAAAACACTGCATTTAAGTACCTACAATTTGAATACCAAAGTTAAATGCTGGAATGGATGTCTTAACAGCAAGGTTTTTAGTACTGATTTCCACCATAGGATCTATAATAATCAAAATTTGACTGTAAATTCCCTGAGCATGCAAATATCTCTACCTCCTCAAAGTTAGGATGAAGATGGCAGAATATTTCCCCACCACATAATAACAATTGCTATTGATTAAGCACTTATTATACACCAGCCATTGCTGTAAGAGCTATCAAGAAACTTTATTCAGTCCTGCTAGATAAGTATCATCGTTAACACCATTTCACAGAAAAGGAAACCAGGGTTAAAAAAAGCTAAGAAATATGTCCCAAGTCACATAGTTAGGAAGCAGGGAAGCTTGGGATAAGACCCAAACAGTCTTAACTCTACAGCCTAGGCTCTTATACACTATGCCAGCATGTGAGTGTCTCTGGCTGTAAGGAAGACAAGAAGAGAAAAGGAAAAGGTTTGGGCCAAATGGGTTGACAATTATTAGAATCATGAAAAATAGATACAGTTGGTAAAGACTGAAAGACTGAGACTGTCCATTCCAAATCATGAAGTTGAAGGGAAGCAAAAAAAAAACCCTCCTTTGGATAAGATATTTTTGGAGATCTTGGGTGATTTAGCTTGCAAGATAGCCCATTTACTCTCAGTCCTAGAAAAGACAAAACTATAGACACTGGAAGAAAAAGAAGGTGCCACCTCTAGGCATGGTGACAAAATCTTTCTGAGGCAATTTGTCAAGGACCTTGCCAGTTGTCTCAGGAAGATTAATCAACTCTTCATATTTCCTCTCCTTATTTTCTAGGGTTTTCCACATCCCTGACTTAAGAAGCTGAGATCAAGCAACTTAGATGTATCCCCCTTTCTGCCATCAGAAAAGCCTGTTGGTAGATGGTTTCAGAAGCTTTGAGTTGAAGCAAAAAGAACAGCAGTTACAAAAAATACTTAAAATAAAAAGAAAAATAAGAATAGTAGCTACTTCCTAACTGTGTATATTCTTCCTTTTCACATTCCTTCTTAGAGGATGGGGAGTATAGTTATCACCCAGTGTGCCTAGAAATGTTACCTACATATATAAATATTTACTACAGGCCACAGCACAAAGACATCACTCTGTTTTAATGCATTTTGTATATAAAACCAAATGTGCAGTTTATTTCCACCCAAAACCTATCGTTGTTTGCAAATTCTCTATTGTAATCTCTTTCAAAAGGTCAGCTTTGTACCTTTAATATGCTAATAACTGCCCTTTAATACAACTGAGAGGCAATATTAGGGATGATTATTCAAAGGAATAGACCTGTTCAAGAAGTGATTCTAAGGCATTGAAGCAAATATCTTATATACATGATGCTGCTATTTGTAATAATGGAAACCTCCTCTTCTATCAGTCTATTAGCTTTTTTGTGCTTCTCACAAAAAAGCTAAGTCCTGATAAGAAAAGGGTAACATAGGCAAGCTTTTAAGAGATAAGAACCACTGCACCTGCTTTGCAAGCACAAGGTCCTGAGTTTGATCCCTGGTACTGGAAAAAAAGAGAGAGAGATAAAAACCATTCCTTTAATTCTCAGGGCAAGTCAAGTCAAAATGTTGCCTTTTCAGTGGTTGGGATAAGATGAATATTTGAAACACTTCCAGTGGGAAGGAGTATAAGATGTGAGTACAAGAATAGAAGGAGACTTAGATTCACTGCATACTCCATGATATTGTAGTTGCAAATAAGAGAAGCAAGAAAGGCAACTGCATCTCAAGAAGAAGTAGTTCTCATACCCCAAATTTGGTGGGAGAAGTCCCTTCTAGCTACAACTAAAGGTCTGAGTAGTAGGCCCTCTATAAGGGGCTTCTGAAAAGATATCTTTACTTCATTGTAACAACCCCAGATGCCCATTCTTTAGGCTAAGATGCTTTCATACAAAAAAAAAAAAACGCTGTCAAGATTCATTAATTCATTAAATCTATATCAAGTGCCTACCATATGTCAGATACTGGAAATACAGTAGCAAAGAAAATAGAAACCACTGATCTTCATGGATCTGGCATTGCAGAGACAAAGTTTTTTAGCCTAGAAAAAAAGTGCCACGCAAAGCCCAAATTATTGTGCCCTTGATCTCACGGTTACAGAAAAGATCGCCTGGGCCTGATGATACAATTTTCTAATCAAATCCCTAAATTCCCTGTTCTTAAAAGTTTCCCCGTTCTGTGCAGATGAAGATCCTAGTCTGCTTGCATGTTAGAGTACAATGATACAGGTCATCCTAGGAGCTTATCTTCACTGGGTGACATCCTACAATGCCATATCAACCTTTCCTAACAACCTGTGCAGGCTCAGGTGTAACTTTTCACTAGTGTTGTTCACTGATACTGCAATTAGTGCATAGCTTCCTGGTGACAAGTAAGAAGAACAATACCAGAGCCTGCCAGGTTGCAAGACTTACCTAGAAGCCCTCTCAGGGTACTTAAAGGCTGATTTCCCCAGCTTTCATTGAACTCTGAAGCAAGGGGAATTAATGAAGATCAATTTAACAAGTATCTACATTGGACCTATTCTTGGTCTAACTACTAACTTCTTTTCTTTTTCTTTTTTTTTTAACTACTAACTTCTAACTGTGACAGAGACATGGGTGAGCAACACAATTAACTCCTCCCCCCTTCCCTCAAAACCAAGGAGTGCTCTCCAAATGAGAGATGATCTCTGGTCCCTATCTCTCCCTTTTTCTTTCCTCTGCCATTTCCCTCAATAGTGAAAGACTGAATGATTTCATTGTAGTCAGAAATGAAAAAGAATACCTGATCTCATCACTTCTATTTGAAATTGTACTGGGGGTTTTAGTCAGAGAAATTTGACAGGAAAAAGAAGTAAAAGGCATTTAAATTAGAAAGAAGTAAAACTATATCTATTTACAGAACTTATGATCTTACATATAGATAGTTCTAATGAATTAACCAAAAGAAAAATCTGTTATAACTAATAAATGAGTTCAGCAATGGTATAGGTCAATCAATATACAGTTGGATATTACATACACTCTCAATGAACAATCTGAGAGTGAAAATAAGAAAAAAATTGCATTAAAATAGCAATAGAAAAAATAAAATACTTAAGAATAAATTTAATAAAAGTAGTGCAAGACTTATGCAGTGATATCTATAAAATAATGCTGAAAGTAAAGATGACCTAACTAAATGAAAAGACCTCTCATGTTCATTGATTAGAAGACTTAATATTGCTAAAATGGCAATACTCTCCAAATTAATTCAGATTCAACAAAATCTCTAACAAAATCTTAGCAAACTTATTTGTGGAAATTGACAAGCTGATTTTAAAATTCATATAGAAATTGAAGGGACCCAGAATAACCAAAACATTTTGAAAAGTAATGAAGTATGAGGATACATGTTTCCAGGTTTCAAAACTTACTACACATATACACCAACCAAGAGTTTGGCATAGATATAAACAGAGATAAAGATTAATAGAATAGAATTGAGATTTCAGAAATAGATCCCACACATATGATGATTAATCTTTGTCAAAAGTGTTCATATGATTCAAGAGGGAAACTACAGACTTTTCAACAAATGGTGCTTGGACAAACTGGGTATCCCATATGCCAAAGAATAAACTTGGACCCTACCGCATAATATATGAAAAATTAACTCAAAATGGATGAAAGTCCTGAATATAAGAGCTAAAATTATTAAACTCTCTAAAGAAAACATAGAGAAAAATATTTGTGACTTTAGGTTAGCTAATAGTTGCTTAAATGATAACTAAAGCATAAGTAACCAAGAGAAAATAAACTGGGCTTTATCAAAAGTAAAAGTATTTGTGCTTTAAATTATACTATCGGTAAACCAGGCACAGTGGTGCATGCCTGTAATCTCAGCTACTCAAGAGGCTGAGGCAGGAGGATCACAAGTTCAAGCCCAAACTGAGCAACATAGGAAGACCCTGTTTCAAAATAAAAAATGAAAAAGGCTAGAGATATAGCTCAGTGTGAAGGCCCTTGGTTCAATTCCCAGCACTCACACCCCACCCAAAAAAAGAAAGTGAAAAGAGATAATGGGATAAAATACTTGCCTATGATATACCTACTAAGGATCTAGTATCCAGAAGATATGTAACTCAACAATAAAAAGACAATTAACACTTAAAAAGGGCAAAATATTTCAATATGAATTTCTGCAAAGAAGAAATATAAATGGCCAACAAATACATGAAAAGATACTATCATTTGCTTTCAGAGAAATGCAAACCCAAACCACTGCACACTGACTAGGATAGCTATATGGATCATAAACAAAAAGTTCAATAGCAAGTGTTGAGGACGATTTGGGAAAATGTGAACCCTCACTTCATACACTGTTGATAGAAATGTAAAGTGGTGCAACCATAGTGAAAACATTTTGGCAGTTCCTCAATAAGTTAAACATATAGTTATTGTATGACCCAGCAATTCCACTTCTAGGTATATATTCAGGAGAATTGAGAACCTATGTTCACACAAAACTATTACTTATAATATTCAAAAACTAGAAATAACTCAAATGTTCAACAAATGATAATAGATAA